CCCTAGACACATGTCATTTTATCCACTTTATAATTTCCTGCTCCAACCTAGGTCTGTCATATAGCTCTCACCCTGTCTCTTCTAGGCCATTTAGATTGGTCTGTTTCCTGGATCCCATCCCCATCTTAGCTTATGCCTTCTTTTTCTATGTACCGTCTTTTAGTATCTTCCTAGGAAAGAGAACTTGGGGACTCCTACCTTTCTGCAGTTGCCTTAAGTTTGGTTGGTGGGAGTTGCCCTGAGATTGTTGCATACTGCCTCCTCTCCCCACTGAGAAGTTGCTGCCATTTCTTCTCTTCTCTCTGGAATCTTTTCTTCTCCTGTGATCTGAAATTCCATGAGGACATGTCTTGGCATGGACCTGTTTTTATTCTTTGGTGAGGATATTTGGAAGGATGCTAGATCTTCAGTTCTGGCAAATTTTATTTGATAGCCTCTCCCCATTTTCTTTGTTCTAATTCTGGAGTTTCTTTTCTTTCCTTTTTTTTTTTTTTAAGATTTTATTTATTTGTTTGTCAGAGAGATAGAGTACAGGCAGGCAGAGTGGCAGGCAGAGGCAGAGGGAGAAGCAGGTTCCCTACGGAGCAAGGAGCCCGATGTGGGACTCAATCCCAGGATGCTGGGATCATGACCTGAGCCGAAGGCAGCCGCTTAACTGACTGAGCCACCCAGGCATCCCAATTCTGGAGTTTCTATTGGTCATATTTTGAACCCCTTCTGATGATCTTCTAAGTTTGTATTTTAGTTCCACTTTAGAGAAAAGATTTCTTTGGTTTTTTTTTTTTTCTAATCATTTAGTGAATATTTATTTTAGCTTTCATTTTCCATTTTGTCCCCCAGTTCTTTATTTTCTTACCTCAGAATGTGAATTTTGATTTTGGTTTTTTAAGAGTTTTCCTCTGTTCCTTTCATTCTGTTTCCTTGGGTTTCCCCCAGCCCCTCCCTGTTCATTATGATCCCCCCTTTTCATGTCGAGCTGTATGGAAGTCAAGAGCATGGACTGCTGGGTTTAACACCTGTTTCTACTGCTTACCTGCTGTTTGACCCTGGGCATGTTAATTTCTCTGTGCTATGTCATTTCTGTATAGACATGAAAAGAATATCTACCAAATATAGTTTCTGTCAACTTTAAGTGAGTTAGTATATGTAAAATGCTTAGAACATTGTCTGCCGTATGGTAAGAGTTTATACCTGCTTGGAATTATTTTGCTGGGGGGCTTTCCATAATGTCTGAGCCTTCGTGGTACATACTTGAGAGGTACTCAGATGCTGGCTGGAGGTGAGACATAGGTCGGACATGGGTAGGAAAGCCACATTGCATGTTGGGTTTTACTCTGTGTTGAGAGAGTAGAAAGTTTGTTTACCTGTCTTCCCTTTCTCCATTCCAGTTTAGAAAGCATACATTAAGGCAGCGGGAAATACCTGAGAACTATATATTTTTAAGCAGAAAAAATAATGTATTTTCACATTGTTTCCTTTTTTGTAGCATCTTTGGTATATAAAAAAGGACATTTCTGGTTCCATATGATTCTTTCTGGTACAAAAAGAATGAACTTAGTGTTCATAAACACATTTCAGTTAACAACATTCTGAGCAAACAGGTCATGTTTTCAGAAGACCAAAATGTTTTATCCTGACCTGTTTTTGATAATCTACACTATTAGTGGCTGGGGTAGTGCATAGTAATTCAAGTAATTGAATTATAAATCAAATAATTGAAAAAGAATTCAGAATTGGTTCAAGACTTTGGATTATGTGTGGAACATACTGAGAGTTTTAAGAAAGGAGAACACATGTTAACAGTTAATACTGGTAAGGCCAAAAGTAAGTCATTACTGCTGGTACTTTTAAAGAAAGAATTGAAAACTGTGTACCTACCTTTCTTCCTTTTTTTTTTCTTGGATAACAAATAGAATCACTGTCCTTAACTTCAGAGATATACTTCATAGAAGTCATCATGTCACCTCTACCATGTCAGCCTGCAAAGTATCACTGGGGTGCAGGCCGTATCAGCCTCCCATTGTGTTCCATTACAGTCCCAGGCATTGAGGCTGATGACGTGGTGGAACCAACTCCAAACTTAGGAGGAAGACCGTTTACCAAAGCATGGAGAGGAAGCTTGCTCCGTGTTCTGTACATGTTAAAACAGGCAAACACTTGTTTTGTTTTGTTTTGTTTTTTATAAACAAAACACTTGATTCTCAATGTGTTTAATGTTCTAAATTCTAGTCCACCAAGTAACTAGTTTTACTGTTTTCTTTGCATGTAACAGGAGTTTTTTGTTTGTTTTTTTTTTTTAATTTCTTTTCAGTGTTCCAGAATTCATTGTTAGGCACCACACCCAGTGCTCCATGTAATCTGTGCCCTCCATAATACCCTCCACCAGGCTCACCCAACCTCCCATCCCCTGCCCCTCCAAAACCCTGGGATTGTTTTTCAGAGTCCACAGTCTCTCATGGTTCATCTTCCCCTCTGATTTCCCCCAACTCCTCCTCTCCATCTCCCCATGTCCTCCGTGTTATTCCTTATGCTCCACAAATAAGGAAAACCATATGATAGTTGATTCTCTCTGCTTGACTTGTTTCACTCAACAGAATCTTTTCCAGTCCCGTCCATGTTGATAGAAAAGTTGGGTATTCATCCTTTCTGATGGAGGCATAATACTCCATAGTATATGTGGACCACATCTTCCTCATCTATTCATCCGTTGAAGGGCATCTTGGTTCTTTCCACAGTTTGGCGACTGTGGCCATTGCTGCTATGAACATTGGGATACAGGTGGCCCTCCTTTTCACTACATCTGTACCTTTGGGGTAAATACCCAGTAGTGCAAGGGTCATAGGGAAGCTCTATTTTTAATTTCTTAGGAATCTCCACACTGTTTTCCAAAGTGGCTGTACCAACTTGCATTCCCACCAACAGTGTAAGAGGGTTCCTCTTTCTCCACATCCTCTCCAACACACATTATTTACTGTCTTGTTAATTTTGGCCATTCTAACTTGTGTAGGGTGGTATCTCAATGTGGTTTTGATTTGAATCTCCCTGATGGCTAGTGATGATGAACATTTTTTCATTTGTCTGTTAGCCATTTGTATGTCTTCATTGGAGAAGTGTCTGTTCATGTCTTCTGCCCATTTTTTGACATGATTATCTGTTTTGTGGAGTTTTTAGTACTTTGATGAACTTTTAAAAATCCCTTCTTCATCTTGGAGATTGTATTTTGAGGAGAGTATAAAAGGCAGACAGTTGATAGGCAGAGATGTGAGTCTAACTCTGATCCTGTGTAAATTATAAAGTAGATCAGATCCCTGGTTCTTTCTCATCACTGAGTTGTTGGCTCTGAAAGCCGTCCCTGCTCCTGCAGGTCTGTTCGTTGAAATACAGCACATTCACTTCCTCAACATAAGAAAAGAGAGAGAGAGGAAGCTATTACTGTATACACAGGCTGTCCTCGCTTTGCACAGTAGTGCAGGACCAGAAAAATGAGCTGCTTGCCAAAATCAGACAAGGGGATCTTAATAAATTTTAACAAAATGTTCTAAAGGTATGGAGGTAGGGAGGGTGCTCAGCATTTCCATGCCCTTTTTGGGCAGGACACCTTCCCACCCAGCCCTTGATGTGTTCACCAGCCTTGAAGCTCTCCAACCCTGAGTTTAGGGCTTTTCATGGCAGTTTCACTATGTAGGCATGATTGATTAAGTCACCAGCCATTGGTGATGGTCCATCTTCTGTCCCTTTTCCCTCCCTAGAGATGGAGTGGGGCTAAAATTCCAAGTTTCTAACCAAGGTTTGGTCTTTCTGGTGAGTGGGCCCCCATTCTGAAGCTATGTAGAGGCTGCTAAGGGTTGCCTCATTAGAATAAAAGGTTATCTATCTCCTCTCAGGAAATGACATGGGATTTAGAGCTTTGTGTCAGGAAACAGGGACAGGTCTATCATAGATCTATGATAGCACAGGTCCCTCATAGCAAAAGGGCACATTTCTAGATGCCCAAGTAGTCATTAATGATTAGTCCTCACCATATTTTATCAAAAGGTCTCCCAAGGCAAGTCCACTCAGATTTGCAGACTTCCATTCGATGTTGTCAGGTGTGATCTCAGCGATCTATAGCTTCACCCTTTCAGGCATAACTCAGAACAGCCAAAGGCGAGAGCTACATGGAGCTACAAAGTGGGGGCGGGCATGGGGCTTGTGTGCGCTCTGGGGTGCCCCTCCCCTCATCTCCGTGAGCTCAGCAGCCTGGAGTTCTCTGCCTCTTTCTCCTCAGGACCTTCAAATGGTAGTACAAGGGGGGGGGGTGGATTTCTTTAGAGTCATTTCGTTTCTCCAGAGAAGAACCTTTCAGCTTCAATCCCAAGGTAAAAATGCAATATATGTGTGGCCTACCGGGGTCAAGCTTCCTTTCACAGATTTTCATTGTTTGTAGCCTCACACCTCACTCCTACCCTGTGTTTCATGCACTGTCCCTGAGCCCTGGGCTTTCCCCATTTCTCCAAGAGTAGGCCTCCAGTGTGGGAGATGCTCCATGCCTGGCTGGTGTGTGGGGAGATGCTCTTCCAATGTCCATTTTTGGTTCCGTGCTTCACACCTCCTTCTCTCCAAGTCCTGCACCTCTCTCCAGGGCTCTGTGCTCCGAGGTGTTCCATTCAGTGTGTCCTATGTGTGGTTTCCTCACCTTCTTCCGTCAGCTTTCCATCTCTGAAATATGTCTTCAGTCTTCTTGGATGCTAATGTTCCTCTCCCTGTCTCGCATTCATACATTTTTGTCTCTTCATTGTCCTTTACTGGGGTCTGAGGAGGCAGAGGGAATATTGTGTGCATCTTAACCTGGAATTCTGCCACTGGTTTATAAGATCAAGGATTTGAAGCAGTGGACGTGGGCAGAAAGGAGAAATGTGAGACTCGGGAAAAGCCAGACCGAGGCTTGAAAGTAATCTTTATTCATCCGAGCTGCACACACGTTCGGTATGGAAGACAGGGCCGCCGTCACCACTGGAAGACTACTTGTGGCGATCATCTTCTCCCAAGCTCCACATTTTAGCTTTGTACAGCGTGATATCGTTGTAGACCCTGAAGTGGTTCAGCCTGCGGTCATCACGTTCCGGGTTGACCTAGATAAGAGAACGCAGGCATCAAAAGGAAGCCTCTGTGGGGAAGGGACCACTGGGGTTTGTCGTTGCGAGGACCTGGGCTCCAGTGTGTGGCCTCCAGGTCTCCTGGCGCAACCTTGTTTGGGAATGGAAATGACAGTATTTACATCAAAACTGTTATAACCTAGGCCGAGTTGCTGCACTACCCTTCCCACACCTTCGTTGGAGGCCACACCTCTGGACTCTTGGTCCTCTGGAACGTGAGCCCCAGGAGGGTGGCTGCTGTACCTGTTTCAGTCACTGCTTATCCCCAACACCTAGAACAGTGTCCAGCACACACTAGAGGTTCAGGATACATTTGTCACTGAAAGAATGGATGTTGTTGATGTGGTTACACAGAGGACTAAGAGTGAGCACTCAGACACATAAATCTGATAGAAGCTCTAAGATGAACTCAGGCAATTAAAGGATACATTTCCATCAAATGTCACTAAGAGAGCAGAAGCTGAGAGGTGTTTGAGTGTGGCTTTTCCAGTGTCCCAGTATTGGGACTGGGGTTGTCTGTTTGTCCAGGGTGAGGTTCTGCTAGGGGGCAGGGAGCCCTAAGTTAAATTCGGGCTGATCAAGCCTCTTCGGCCCCCAGTCATATCACTCTGAATCTCTGGCTTAATTCCTTTTTATGGTTGCGCAACACCTGTATCTAACTTTTGGGGCCTGTACTTTCTTACTCTGACACCAGCGCCATCCAACAGCACAGTCCCTATGTTTGTGATGAACAGGCGTGGCGTGTTTGTAGACGCAACACAACTCACAGCGATGGCTGGTGGCTGGCACACACAGTCACTTACTGGCCAGGCCTGGGAGGGCTGGAGCGGGGCAGGGCTGGCCAGGGCACCCCCACTGCCCTGCCCTGAGACATGCGGGTCAAAGATGCATTCCCACATGCCCACTCTGTACCCCCTCTGAAAGGGGGCCAGCCTTTCCTCTTTAAGAAAATGAAGAACAGCGAATTAAATTATTTGTGTTTTGTAGTAATTTTTAAAGTTGGTTTAATATCTAACTCAGATAATTTCTCTTTCCCTTCACAATCCTCCAGCACCCCCCCAATTCACTCTTAAGTCAGTCCCCCACCCATCCTCCTCCTCTGTCTGTTTGAGCACTGCTCTTTTGGGACAGTCCCCCTGGGAAGGTGGGGTGCTCCTGCTGGACCCAATTCCTGTCTCCCAGTGTCCTCTCTTCAGGGTGAGTCCCACATCTGAAGAGGAGCTGTTGTAAAGGAGAAGCTTTTTACTCAATCAATCTTTCCCTCCCTTCCTCCCTCCCTTCCTTCCTCCTTTTCTCCCCTTCCTTCCCTCCTTCCTCCCTCTCTCACCTTCTTTCCCTCCTTCCTTCCTTCTTTCCTTCCATCCTTCCTTCCTCCCTTCCCTCCTTCTTCCCGAGCTATTTATTCCAATTTCCCTGCAGCAGCCCTGTGGCAGACCCACACACCCCAGACTGGAGCTGTATAAATGGGAGAGAAGGCGAGGCCCCAGAGTAGAAAGGTAAGAACCACAGGATGTGGCGGTCTTGGGAAGGGTGCACGCTCAGTAGAGGAGGACAACCAGGCATTGCCCTAAGCAGTTTAGACACAGTGTCTCTGTTAATCCCCACAATACACCTTCAAGGACCAGTATTATTATTCCCATTTTAAGGTAGGTAACTGGGAGTTGAGAGGTTCAGGTCCCACAGCTAGAAAGTGGAGCTGGGATTTGAACTCCGCTGTCTGGCTCTAGAGCCACCATGTTACACTGATACACAGAATTGAGCTGACTGGTGCGGAAGCTGGAGGCACGTGGTGCCCCAGGAGCAGGAGGGGAAGGTGCCCAAATCTGCCTGGTGGGGAGCGCCGGGTGCACATCCCTTACTGGGGCTTTATAAAGAGGTGACTCCTTAGCAGTCCTGAAGGACGAGGAGGACCTCCGGGAGGAGTATAGGTTTGGGGTCAGGAGGCAGGCTGCGGGAGGCATCCGCTAAGGAGACGGGGTGTACGAGATCCTGGTGCCTTTGAGGGACCGCAGGACGTTCTGCCGAAGCTGAGGAAGAGCGTCTCCAGCTTCACATCAGGCACCAAATACAGAGATGGACTAAAAGCCAAGTGTTAAAAAGAACACAACAACTTGGGGAAAAATCTGAAAGGAAAGCTAGTCACCCGGCTACTCTGAATATTGAAGGCTTTCCTAAACAAGGCACAAATCCCAGAAACAGTGACGGAAAAGGCTGGTGCATTTAACTTAAAAATTAAGACAGTCTATGTGATCAAAGACGTGGGCAAGTTAAAAGACAAATGTGGCAGGAAGTTCAAACTGTCCTCCTACCGAAGCCCTATCTCATTGCAGGAAGACAACACGCTGATGATCACATTTCCCAGGCTCTTGGCAGCTCCCAGGCCTTTCCGATCCAACAAGGGGCATGTTACCAGCGTTCCCATTTTACAGATAAAGGGATGGAACTCTGTGAGGTCATGGGATGTGCCCGACCACCCTGCTAGTCACTGGCAGAGCAGACCCAGGCAGTCACCAGAAAGCTTTGTCTGGTCCACACCTAGATGGTGTCTGCTATGTGTCGGGCACTGCTCTAAGCACCTTACAAATTAACTAGCGCATTCTGTAATATCTCTGCTATCTCCATATTACACTGAGGACATGGAGTCATGGAAGAGCTTTGTGACTTACCCAAGGTCACACAGCTAGTAAGTGGCAGCCAGAGTTCAGACCCAGGCAGTCTGGCCTCATCTATTATTCTCTTAACCAATGGCCTCTCTTGCCTCTTGCTTCCTAGGTAAAGGAGCCACACTTACCAAGGGCTCTGAGTCCCATCCGATTTCTTGGCTTTCGGTCTGTGTCTCTGTGTATTTCTTCCTTGGCCCAAGGGCAGCGTGGTGGATGAGATTTAGAAACCTGGCTGGGAAAGTAGGCATGAGTTATGGAGGAGGCAGGCTTTGGGGCCGAGAGTTCCTGTGCCCTTTACTCAAGCCACAGGCTTCCCTAGAGACACAGTGCCCAGACTTGGGGGCCCTGCCAAGGCCTTGCAAGGCTCATCTTTCTACAAATATTTCTTGAGCACAAACTTGTACCAGGCACTCTTCTGGACCCCAGAGGCAGAGCAGAGTGTGATGAACATGGTCCCTGCTCTCCTGAAGTGTGTGGTCTTGGTGGGGCGACAGGGTACACAATGCCCAAGGGGACAAACAAATCTGAGGGTGATGCCAGCTGTGAGGCAGGAGGAAGCTAAGGGGCATGCAGAGGTGGAGACCAGGGTCTGGATGCCAAGCAGGAGCCAGCCCTGAGACAGAGGCAGAGGAAAAGCACAGTACAGGCAGCAAGAACAAAGGCCCTGAGGCACAAGAAAGCTGGGCCAATGTGGCTATGGCAGAGTGAGGAGGAGGGCTGTAAACCGGCCAAATCCTCCGTACGGCTATAGGAATGACTGCCAACCCCACGCTGATCTCTAACTCCACAGTTTGCGGGCTTACAAAGATTTCATTTCCAATTTCCACCCTATCAAGTCTCAATTTGAGAGGCAGTTTGACATGGGAAGAACCTGTGCTTTGTAGTCAGACAGTCCTGGCCCTTCCGCTACCAACCTGACGGGTGGTTTAACTTCTCTGGTCCTCACTCTGCTCATCTGGAAAATGGGGAGGCCAATATCTACCTTAGCAAGACGACTGAGCATGAAGACCTGGCCCCGGGCTGAGCTTATCTGTGATATAAATAGTTCGCAGTACACTCCTGGCTCACTTTCAGGTCCCTCGCTGCCTGTTACTCTCTCTGCCACTGCCCAGCCCCAGCTCCTCTCCTTTCCTCTAGCTGGGCTGGTCTCTTCACCACAGATAACGTCCCACTTCCTCTGACAAGCTCTAGGAGTCTATCCGCTTGGCTATCTCCGCTATGCTCTGAGATCCTCCCTCCTCCTGCCCACCCCACCGTCTTACCCTGTCCTCCTAGAGAAACTTTACCTCTTCGCTCCATCAAATTCTACTCTAAATGGGGAGGGAGGCGAGCTTGCCAGGAAAGATTGGGCTTTCCATCAAATACCTCTCCTATCATTCCTGAGCGTGGTCCCGCCCACTTGGAGACCACAGCCATGCCCAGCTACCCGCCTCCTCGGGCTGTGCTGCTCTCTCTCATTTCTGCGCCTTTCCATATAACTCAGAGCGTCCTTCTGGTCTTCTCTACCTGACCTACTCCACCTCAGCCTGTTACCACCTCCTCCAAGACGACTTCTCAGAACTCCACGACCTGTCTAGGGCACCTGTTTTCTCCGTTGTTGCCATCCCAATTTTATTCTCTATTTACTCATCCGTCTCCTTCACTGTGGTGTGAGGTCTCCACCTCCCCACCCCCTGCCCCATCAGAGTGACTGTCACATGGTAATAATGAAAGTAATAGCATTTCTTGATCACCATGTACTATACTGTTCTATGCTCTCAGTACTTGGCTTATTCTGCTGAATCCTCACAACAACGTGAGAGATAGGCTCAGGGAGGGCAAAAAACTTGCCCAAAGCCACACAGTTAATGAGTGGCTGAACCAGGATTTGAACTCCATTAAAATGACTTCAGAACCTCTGCTTGTCACAATGAAATGTTTGATGAATGAATATATAAATGCATTGCTAAGACGATTAGGAGCATTTTTCTTGGCCTGACAGTCAATGAACTGGCCATATGGTTGAATATATTGGTCTCCTGTGAGCTTCATGAGTGGGAGTCCAGTGTTCAGATGATCAAAATGTTGCCCCAAGTTAACACTACCCTGAAAGTTCTCTCCAGCCAGCTGCCTATCTGGGCTCTATCGGTGGTGTTCACAAAGCCCAGGACTTACCATCTGCAGGTTCCTCCAGGTTATCATGCCGAGACATGGGCTTTCTGGTGATTGTGTGAACTAGAGAAAAACAGCATCACAGGTTCACGTTACAACATGAACATCCCGCCCTCTTGACGACTCACCCGAGCCAGACACCTGCTGAGCATTTTTCCGAGTGTCTGCCACATGTCAGGTATTGTGCTGGGCGCTAGGGAATGAGGCTCTCAGGGACTTCACAGTCCAGAGTGGCACTGTCCAGGACAGTGGCCACCAGTCACATGTGGCTGCTTGCATTTCAATGGTTAAAATTAAATACACTTAGAAATCCATTCCGCAGGCACACTAGCTACATTTCAAGGGCTCCGTTGCCACATGGGGCTAATGGCTCCCATTCGGGGCAGCACAGCTATGAAACGTTTCATCGTTGCTGAATATTCTCTCAAACAGTGCTGGTCTACAGGGATGCAGACACACCAGGTAGCCAAACAAGGTTAGACCCATGGTGATATATCTCCTGGAGGCTGTGTGACAGCAGAGGTGCAGAATCCACAGACATCCATTCAACTCATAATTACCGATGCCCAGGAGACAGGGCTGTGAATGGAGGCGGTTTCTGTACTTCCTGAGCTTCTTATTTGCTGTGACAGACAATAAACAAATAAATACCTGGGCAAAATAAGTGAGCTGTAGAACAGTAAAGCCCATTACATGGGTAGAGTGTGGATGGTCAGGTGGTGGTGACAGGTCTCTAAGGAAATGTGCCATGTGAGCAGAGCTCCGGATAAAGTGAGGGAATCCAAGAGTGAGCTTGGTGAGTTTGAGAAACATCAAGAAGACCAGAGTAATTCTGTGGCATGAGCTAAGTTGAGGGTAGTAGGAAATGAGCAGAAGCCAGAAGGAACCAGTGGTCTCCAAAATTATTTTTTACCCCAGACTCCTACCAGTAAAAAAATTCTGAGCGCACACCTAATACATGTGTATTTATATGTCTCTATGTACTATGAGCAGTATAATTTCTTTCTTTATATCTAAAAGTAAACATAAATACAAATTCTAGCAGACATATGAGTATTAATTCTAGTATTTCCTCACTTTATTCCAATGGATCGCACTAATCGTGTACCCAAGGGACATGAGCTCGGAGACCTAGAAAGACTGAACGTTACCCGAAGAGGTAATTTAAATTGTGGAAATGCACCAAGTTTAAACAGAATTGGACTGCTGATTTGTTTTCCTGAAATTGGCTGGGAGCTCCAGGGGAAAACCAGGTGAGTTCTGTGCAAAATGAAGACATTACATTTTCTGTGCTCTCCCCCCAAGCCCAACACACAGGGTAACTCTGTGAGACGGGTATGCTACTTAGCTTGACTGTGTAATCATTTCACTGTATATGTATATCAAAACATCATGTTCTAGAACTTAAATATATACAAGTTTTATCTAGAAAATGACCTTACATTTTCTCTGCATAGCTGAACTGCAGTGGACTACAGTTAATTGGGCCCAGAATTTGGGAGAGAAGTTCTGGAAGAAGAAACAATGATTACGAAGGTAACAAGATGGGGAAAGGTGTGATGTATTTAGGAAATCCATTTATTGAGACGTGGTGGGAGAGAAGGGAGCATGTGCTTGGTGCAGAATGGCACTAAAATATTTATTAAAGGAGCAGCATGTGGCTGGGGAGAGGAGTCCTGAGGAGGCTGGGTGGGCAGCAGAGCCGGATCCACAGGGGTCTTACGCACTGACCGGTTTAAACCTTGGTTCAGAAGCTGGGGGCCCCTGTGGGTCTTAAAGAGGGACCGATGGGATCGAACTCATTTTTAGCATAGCTCCAGCCGGAAGTGGTGTGGGGGACAGTGAGTTTGGAGGAAGAGGGTAGTTAAGAGCCCATCCCACCACTGCAGACAGAAGTGAGAAGGGTCCCGCTGAGGCTTGGCGGGGAGGCTGGAGAGAGGGGTGGACTCAGGCCCTAATTAGGGGGGGAAGCAAGTGAGGGGAGGTGGAGAGGTCTCCACGAACACCACAGTCTTTCACTGAGGTCAGAACACTGGAAGGGTCAGTCAGGTGAGAGAAATGTTAAGGAATAGCCAGGACTGCGACCACTTCGATGTGTGCAGTGAGGGAGAGACTGAGGATGACTTCCAGGCTTCAGCCTGGGACAGAAAACGATTGCAGTACCTTCTCCTCAAACAAGATACTCTGGAGTAGCAGCAGGTGGGGGACATGGGCAGGATGCCCCCAGTTTTACAACTGGTGAGTTTAAGGGACCCACGGCCTGTCCAGGGGAAGAGCTGGGTGGTAGTTGGGGGCGTGGGTCTGGGTTTCCATCTGAGACCCAGGGGCATTCAGGGGCACTGCTCAAGGAATGTGCCAGGTGAGGAGTGGGGGCAGGGCTGGTTTATCAAGGGGCACTGTGGGCCCTGAGCCCAGCACCACCACCCTCCTCCCGGAAGTTTCCCAACATTTAAGACAATATGAAAAGCCTGGAAAAACAAACTAGCTTATTTACAACACAAACACAACTAGCTTATTAACGACAAACCAAAACACAACAACAAAACAGACCGTAAAACCCTACAGGATGCAATTATTTAGAAAGCAAAATTTCAAAAAGTCTTTCAAACTTTTGACCACGAAAATACTATTTAATCATGGTGTGTATGCATTTTTTCTTTAAGATTATTTATTTATTTGACAGACAGAGATCACAAGTAGGCAGAGAAGGCAGGCAGAGAGAGAGGAGGAAGAAGGCTCCCTGCCACGCAGAGAGCCCGATGCGGGGCTCGATCCCAGGACTCTGGGATTATGACCTGAGCGGAAGGCAGAGGCTTTAAGCCACTGAGCCACCCAGGCGCCCCGATGTGTGTGCATTTTAATACATTAAAGTATTTGGTGGGATGTGGAGCGAAACCCTCCCCTATTCTCCCCCCTCCTGAAATCTAGGGAGGGGGGCGAGGTCAGAGAAGGCGTCTTCTACTGTGCTCAGCCCCGCATCCCCACCCCACACCCCCGCCCCGCACCCCCACGGCCCCTCCTTCCTAGGAAAGCTCACCCAGTCCTCTACCTCCGCCCCGGGGCACCCCTCACCTTTGCGGAGGGGATTCACGTGGTACTGTGTGTAGAGTTTCTGGGTTCGAAGCTCTTTGAGGTATAATTCCCGCAGGATCTGGTTCTGATGGACCTCATCTAGGAGCACTTTCTCTTTTTGGCGTCCGGCCATGGCTTTGGCGGTGCTGGGTGCGCTCTTACCCCTTTCTCCCTGCGCTTCGGACGCTGGCCTGGGAGCAGGGCGGAGCGCCGTCTCCAGGTAACCGCGTCCCACACTGTCTCCGGGCAACAGCGTCCGGGATTACAGCCTCCCTTTGACAACCACCCCCCAAAACACCCTCCCGGGGGCCGCCCATCCCCCCTACCCCGCCCGCACCTTCCAGAACCTTATTTCTGAGCCCGCTTGCTTCCTAAGCCCAAAGCCTGACTGACAACTCACCTTGCCCAGCCTCTCAAGATCCAGTCTGGTTCCTAGGACCAACCCCACATACGGCCAGGAGAGAACACAGGTCCAGCAGCAGACCCAGGAGGTAATGGACTTGATTGGACCTCACCTTGGACAGTCATTTCCTAAAAAAGATTTGGGAAGGAGTCAGAAACCTCTCCCTTTTTAAAGCAGATGACTAGAAAGGAAACTCTCAATGTCTGTTTCACAAAACAGAGGAGGTTTCAAATTTGACAAGTTATTCTGGCCCTTATCATCCGTGGGATAATATAGACAGAAGAACCCTTTACTTTTGGGAGGGGGTGTTTTAAAGATTTTATTTATTTATTAGTCAGGGAGAGAGAGAGAGAGAGTGAGTGTGAGTACACACTGGGGAACGACAGGCAGAGGGAGAAGCAGGCTCCTCGGGAGCTAGGACCCCCAGGTGGAACTCGATTCCAGGACCCTGGGATCATGACCTGAGCTGAAGGCTGCTGCTTAACCTACAGAGCCACTCAGGTGTCCCAAGAAGAGCACTTTCCTGATGTAAAGGACTTGGGGACTTTATAGTTTATTTATTTAAAAAATTCAACTGTGGTAAAATACATAACGTAAAATTTACCATTAGAATCGTTTTTAAGGATATAATTCAGTGGTGTTAAGTATATTCACATTGTGTGAAACCAATTTCCAGAATTTTTTGATACTCATTAAACAACTTCCCATGGCCCGCTCCCCCATAGCCTCTGGAAATTGCCATTGCACTTTCTGTATGAATTTGACTACTCTAGATACCTCATATAATACAGTTTGACTCCAAAGCCCATGCTCTTTTCCATTAAGTACTTCACTGATTCATCTATCCATGCATTCATTCAGGGACACAGCATATTCAAGGATGTGTGTAGGTCTGGGACAGGCCTGAACTCAGCTAGCTCCTTAAAGGCTCCTTGTTTTAGCTCCTGCTACTCCTTCTCCTTGGCCTGGAAGGCTCTTTCCCCTGTGTCTGTCTGGGGAGCACCTGTATATAACGAGCTCATGTATAGTGAGCTTCTTTCAAAAAGCTACTGAACTCCATAGCCCCTAGTCCAGCTTTTCTCTGTGACATGCTCTGCTCCAAATCTGTAGTTACTGGACTATTTTACTAAAATTCTTTGTTTACATGTAAGTTACTTGAGAATGAGAAATTATATTGGGTCCATCTCTCCATGACCAGTACCTGGCCTACTATGGGCAGATATGGGTGTTTGGTAAAGGTTTGCTGGCTGTTTGGATGTCTGCTCAGTTAGTACTAGGATTTTCTTCTGCTTACATCATTACATAAACCCTCGCGTGATTCAGAAACGCAAACGGATTCTATTACACCAGGACTGAACTAGAGAAGCCCTTTGTTATTTATTGTGAGCCATACCTGGGTCCCTTTTTCTAGCAAGGCTCAAACGGCCTCTGAAGTCTTCACTGTCTTCCTAAGCCTAAGTAGGAATGAATCATCATTCTGCTCAGGAGCTGCCTTGCTAGCTCTGGGACAACTAGCAAAGGCTGTATCGGTCCCCAGCTAAACTGACCTTTCTTCAGCCCCGGCCTTGTGGTCCAGCAACCCTCCCTCCATACAGGAAGGACTATGACTAGGAGGAGGCTCAGAAGGAAGGGAGTCACTGCAGCTTCATCTTCCCTCCACTCCAGCCCCACATTATTATATTTCCCAGGTGCCTTTGAACACCTCATAGCCCAGCCCAGTGGAGGCCAGTCCAATGACTCTCTGGGGCTAGCTTCTGCTTACCTGGGGACATTCTAGGCCATCCTTCTAAACTCTGAGACTATTTATTGAAAAACACAGGGGAGTTGAAAAACACGATGGTCTTCTCCTCTAGCTTCTCAGCTGTTGTCTGAGGTTTCAGATTTTTCTTGAAATCTGTGTTACCTCTCCATTAGGAGCAGATGCAGAGACTCAGCTAACAGGGAAATCAACTAGAAAAATATAATAGAAAATGTCATTCACATTAACAAAAAACAGCTATCTAGGAATTAACCTAATAAAGAATGAATGAACATTTTATGAAGAAAAAAAATTGAAACTATCCATATCATACAAAAGGTCTTAACTAATAAGGAGATCAGCATCGTATGCCGGTGAGCCGCCGTGCAACACTTAGAGCCACAAACGAGACGCGCTACAGCCATGAGGGCAGATCTTAAAACAGCAGCGATTGGAAAAAAGTTATAAAAGGCTAAGGTTTATAATATAATACTATGCCCTAAAACTACAAACAGACCAATTCTATATGGTACAAGATTGATTCTGCATGGTACAGAGTGAGTGTGTATTGGGGTAAGGAGATCAGAGAGCCACCCAGGCTTGTAAATAAAACAAGATTTTTTTCCTTCTGGGCTTCCCCAACTGCTACAGACATTTAAATGCAGGGCCTGGGTATGGAGCAGTGCTGGACTGTGATTCTTTGAGAGAAGGGAGACAAAGGAGATGAGCCCTATAGTTGTTCCAAATTTCTGCCTGGAGACATTTTCTCAAAAATGCAGGGAAGGTGAACCCAAGCTAAGCAGGTGATAATGGCCTAGTTGAGGAGACACAGACTAATGTTCAGGAGTGTGAGGCAGCTGAAAATTTGTGGAGCCGATAACTGGAGGGAGGGGTGAGGGAGAGAGCGAGAGAGAGCCAGAAATGTGCATGGAAACCCTTTGAGTCTTTCCTGGTACTAAAAAGGGAGAAACTTGGTGAAGGAATGACTGGGAAGCTGTGAGCCGAGCAACAACCAGAATTCATACAGGACTGAGAAAAAACTGAGTTCTGACCAGACAAGGTAGAGAGTCCTCAGTGAGGGTGTTGGGTGGAGACCCCCAAAAGTTAACACCTTAGTAAAAAGACTAAGCTAGGCTTAGAGAAAAGGTTGCTCTAGGCTTTCCCTAACAAAGCTTCAAAACAAAGCTCTGAAAGTATCAGATAGATCCACAGAAGGGGCCAGTCTGTCTCCAGGAAAAATTTCCAACACATCTTAAAGAAAGACAACAAAACCCAGCACTCAGCAATATAACATTCACAAAGGACAGCATCAATTGAAAATTATTAGCAAAGCAGACAGTTTTAGTAAGGAAATGTGACCCATAGCCAGGAAAAAAAGCAACATAGAAATTTGAAAACTTAAACAAAATGGATAACTTCTGTGAAGGCATAGATTTCCAGAACTGACAAAAAAAGAAATAAAAAAAAGGAAATGGGAAATCTACATAGCTTTATATCTATTTTTTAAAATTCAATTTTTTAAAAGATTCTATTTATTTATTTGACAGAGAGATCACAAGTAGGCAGAGAGGCAGACAGAGAGAGAGGAGGAAGCAGGCTTCCCGTTGAGCAGAGAGCCCAATGTGGGGCTCGATCCCAGGACCCTGAGATCATGACCTGAGCCGAAGGCAGTGGCTTAACCCACTGAGCCACCCAGGCGCCCCTAAAATTCAATTTTTGATTGAAAACTTCCCCTAATATACCCTCCAGGCCCAGATGGATTCTCTGGTCAATCTGTCAAGTATATAATGATGAAAATTCTACTCCTACCCAAATGCTTTCAGAAAACAGGAGTGGAAGAAGTATTTCCCAACTAATTTTTTTGTCATTTTAATTTTTTAATTAAAAAAAATTTATTTTAAAGTAAGCTGTACACCCATCAATTTGGGGGCTTGAACTCACGACCCCAAGACCAAGAGTCACATGCTTTACTGAATGAGCTAGCCAGATGCCCCATTTCCTAACTCATTTTGAGGTCAACATTATATCAACACTAAAACCAGACAATTATTACAAAAAAAAAAAAAAAACTAAAATAAGCCTTGCAAACATAGGTAAAATATTGTAAAAGATGTAAAAATCCTTAACTAAGTATTAGAAAATTATATCCAGCAATATATAAAAAGATTAATATACCATAGTCAGATGGGTTTGTTCAAGGGATGTAAGGCTGGTTTAGTATTTGGAAATATCAATTCACCATATTAACAAATAAAAGAGAAAGACCATATGGTAGTCTCTACGTTTGGTAGATGCTGAGGAAAGGTACAAGGGGAGAGCTGCTGGGTCCTTTGTGAGGGCCCTGGGCACCCTAACCTGTGACAACTCACAGTTACAAGTTAGGGATTCCTGATAAGCACATGTTTAAAAATCATAAGAGAAACTTTTTAATTGTGAAACATCACACATACACAGAAAAGTGCTTTCCTGCAGAACGGGTAGCTCATACTTATTTACCACAAGTACATACATGTAACCATCACAGAAGCAGACAATAGAACATTAAGAGCACCCCAAGAAGCCTCTCTCACACCCCCACCTAAACCCTGTCTTCCGCTTTCTCCTCAAAGGTACCCCCTATCCTGACTCTTAACACCATAGATCACTTTGCCCATGTTTTCACTTTGTGTAAATGGACTCATACAATGTGCATGCTTTTGTGTTTGACTTCTTTTGCTCAAATTATGTTTGTGAAATTCATCTGTGCTGTTGTGTGGGGTTGTGGTTTCATTCCTGTGTACTGTTCACTTTTGTGACTATAACACAGTTTATTTATTCATTTTGCTACTAATGGACATGGGGCTGTTTCAATATGGACCATTACAAGTCACGCACATTTTTGGTAGATGTCTCTTGATGCCCACGTGCAAACATTTTGTTGGCTGTATACTTGGGAGTGCATCTCATTATGGCTTTAATTTGTGTTCTTCTATTGACTAATGAGGTTGGCCAA